CTAGGGTTTTATCCAGATCTATTTGTCTCCAGACCTGCAAGGCCTCCACTCCCCCTCATCCCCGTTATCACGTGGCCTCCCTAATGCAATTCACTCATTTATGCAACAAAACTGTATTTGTTAAACTACAAACAATACTGGGAAACACCTCAGAATTAAGGTCAGGTGTTACAGGTGGGGTTGGCCATTTTTTGCCAGACATTACCCACCAGGAAGAGATGAAAGCAAAACACATGAACAAAACAGTAAGACAAGCAAACAGTACCCATTAGCCTACCCACACAAAAAAAGGTGACACAAGTACCTTGAAAAACAGAGACGATATATCTGATAAGAGCATTCTGGGGTTTGACAGTTCCTTTTGTCTCTCACCCAACCTATGCACTCTCACTCACCTGTCTACCCACTCTCTTCCCCGCAGCTCTCAGCTCCTGGCACCTACATATCTGCCCGTCTGCTCACTTATCCAGAAAGCCACATACCTCTCAGCCAAAATCCCCAGTCAAGCCAATTGGAATGCACCCCTGTGTGTGCATCTGGGAGCCTTGCGCAGGTATCTGTGCAGCCAGATAAGGTACCTCACGTTATAGAATGGGTACTGTGTTTGTTTCCTAGTTCTGCCCTAACAAACTGGGTGGCTTATAACAACGGAAATGTATTCCCTCAGTCTGGAAGCTCGCAGCCTGAGATCAAGGAGCCAGCACGGTTGGCACTCTGCAGAGGGAGACTCTGCCCACACCTCTCTCCTAGCGTCTGAGGAGGGCCTGCAATCCTTGGCGTGCCGCGGCTTCCAGCTGCATCACTCCACTCTCTGCCTCCGTCCTAACCTGGCCTTCCTCCCTGTGTGTGTATCTCTGCGTGTCCTCTCCTCTTCTTCTAAGGGCATTTGTCATATTAGATCAAGGGCCCAACCTGCTCCAGTATGACCTCATCTTAACTAATTACATCTGCAACAACCTTATTTCTAAATGGGGTCACATGCTGAGGTATACCTGGGGTTAGGAATTCAGCATATGTTTTTGGGCTACACGAGTCAACCTATAACGGCTACTATATGGCAGGCGCAAGGACCAGGCCACCTCCTGTGGTCCTGATACTCTCTTTATGAGGATCAGTGGCTCTCTACCTACCTGTGTGACTGCACATAGAACCATCTGAGGCCCTGCCTTGCCTGCAACACCCTCCAAAAATCAGCCCCCAGATATCAATCAGGTGGCAGCAGGAGGTCGTGGATTTGCAGCTTTGGTTTTAATTAGAATATTGTGGTGTCCCCACAAGTTACAGTGTCCCTGATGCAGGTGACCCTTAATGTCACAGCAGCAGTCACTTTCTCCTACAAATTGTTTTGGTTTAGACAATATATTAAAGGCCATGCTTCATAAGCACAGACATTTATAACACATACTCCAAGTGTTGGTTCAGGAAACACGGACACACACACACACATCCATCTTTACTTCCATTCTTACCTAACACACGCCCTCTGGGTGCTCATGCATGTCTCACGATGGCCTCCTGCCTTACAAAGCTTGCCCCTGCCTCTGAGTTCACTCGTGTTCCTCCCCCTGCCTAAAATGTTCTCCTTCCTCAACTCCACTTATGTAAATCTTACCCATCTTTCAAAACTGTGCTCAATCCCCATTCCATGAAGCCGCCTCTGTCTACTCAGCCCACACTGACTTCTCCCTTCTCTTACCTTCTGCCCGTGACATTTGCTTTGCTAAAAGGGGAAGGAGAGGAAGGCACCCCTCAGTGAAGGACCCACTCCTCCTCCAGGGGTGCTGCCTGCAGTGCGTTTAGAAGATAGCAGGTAGCCCCTGGTCCCTACCGCACAGGTCAGCCTTTTTCAAAGGTGGCTCATTAAAAGAAATGAGAATATGATTATCTCTTTATGAGTGCATTTTTCTTACAGAAATGTTCAATTCTAAGAAAGCTGCAAATAGGGCAGGCAAACCAGAGGCTCTCTTGGAAATCTCCTTGCCTAACCTCTTACCCAAAGCAGACGCGTACTCCATGCCCCTCCCCAACACACACACAATATCAAGGTGTCCACCCACTTATCTGTAGACAGCCCTTTGAGCCTGTCTCTCCAGGCACCTTGTTCCCTTACTGGGCAGCTCTCATTGTTAAAGTTCTTTCTTACAATATACTATTTCTCAAATTTAACTTTGTGGACCATCTGCACCATAATTACTGGAGGTGTTTGCTAAAATCACAGGTTTTCAAGTCCAACTCCAGGCCTAGTGAATCAGCATTTGGTGGGAGGAGAGAAACAATAACCTACACAACTAACAGGTTTCCCAGATGACGTTTATTTTACCAGATTGTGAGATCCACTGAGATTCTGTGGATTCCACAGTGGCTAAAACTTAGTTCTACCTTCCTAACAACAGAGAGCAAGACTTCCCGTTTCCTCACGGCAGCTCTCCAACCACTGGAGGAGGTCCATGCTCTCTCCCTTCAATCTTTAATACTCTCTTGCAACCCAGGTTATTTAACTCTTTCTTCTACAAAGTTTCCTACGCTGAACCTACTTGAGAATCTTCTCCTGCTTGTCAATGTCCCTCTCAAGATGTGATACCCCAATCAGGCAGAGAGAGCTAGAATTTTATGCTTTTACTACACACTGTGAAATACATCAATTTACACCCCTGCCAGCTAACAACAAGAGTTCCCATTTTGGCCTAAACTAACCAGCAGTACTTACTATTATTTTGTAAATCCTTGCTAATTTAATAGGCCCATGACCTTGACCCTTCATAGTTGTTTTAATTTGGGAGCCTTTGTTCCTATTTTTCACATATATATTGGCCTTTGGTAGCTCTTTTGTGAATTGTCTGCTCCTGTCCTTTTTTATTTTTTTCCTTTTAATTCATTATGTTAGTCACTATGGCAAGTAAGTCCTTTCCATGCATTATCTCAACGAATCCTCCAAACATTTCCCTCATGTTATAGTTGAAGAAACTAAACCTTCAGGAACTTCTAATGAAGAAACACGGTTAGGTCTTCAGCTTCCTCAATGACTTATTCCTTCATTTATTCAACAGTTTTTAGAGGACAGGTCTTTATCGTCTAGGTACTTTGTAAAGTGAGTTAGTAGAGCCAAGAGTCCAGAAGGAAATTTTGAGAAAGGTTCAACAGAACACTGGGAATTTTCACCACTCTGCCGCCTCCTTACAGCTCCCTAAAAGTCCCTTTCTTCTCCTTGCTGGTTTTCCTGGCCTTGAGGGAACAATGACCAAGTTATAATCAGAGGATGGCAAGTTCAGGAGGATGTATCTATACGTTCATATATTTGCCAAGGGAGGTAATATGTGGCTGACCCTAAAAGAGCGCAAGAGTCAAAGGCAGTGATCTGAGAACAAGACAGAACTCCATAACTAATTACAGCACATCAGCTGGCAGCAATGCCAGTAGAAAATATTTCCAAAGTATATCTGCAAGGAAGACTGGCCTTCACTTTTTCCATTTTGTGTTATCAAGATCAGTGTTTGTGCAGTAAACTAAGATAATAATGTTCATTCATTATTTATAGGATTGTAGTCCAAATAGCTGAGCTTCTCTTGGTTTTGGTTCACCAAACTCCATGCAATTATATTTTCATTAAAAATACATGTGCATAAAGTTGAAATGATATTTAAATTGACTGAATTCACAACCAGATCAAAAGAAATGCAAACAATTAAGTACAGATCTGAGTTGGAAGCAAACGTAAAAGTAATTAGAGCTTCCTCCATTTTTCTACCGAGAAAGGTTAGAGAAGGCCCAAAGGTCGAGAGTTCTCAGTGTCACACAATGAGTGGCAGCCCTGAGACTCGCAGCCCGGTCTCCTGACTTTAAATTGAGAGTCTGTACAGAGGGCCTTTGTTCCACATTTAACTATTCCCAACTTCACTCAACAAACCCCAGTCCTCCAAAACTCTCATGAAGTTTTCCAAACAAAACCTATAAACTAGGCATCCAAGCAGCTCATGTAATTTTAAAGGTCTTGGTTCCCAGCTCCATGGTTCCAGGCAGCCTGATTAAAGTCCTTGAGGGACATATGCTTCTATAAGCTTTGACGGAAACTCAATTTCTTCCTTATTAGTTATTAATAGAAACATTTACTTGTAATTCCATGGCCCATTTTGCCCCCAATCTTTCTTTCACATAATAAACAAAACAAAACAAAACAAGAAAAAAATTTATTAGTTCAATTACGATGCCCATTTCCCAAAAAGGAAAATTTCTTTCTTCTTTACTCTTTCAATTTCTGATTACTGTGTGTTCAGACCCATAATTTTAAACTACACAAAAATTTTTAAGTTCGCTTTCTCAACACTAGAATTTTAGTTCCTCACAACTTACTGCCTGGCAACCACCTTCTCTTCACAGAGCATAAAGAGAATTTAACATTTAAACAGATTGTTCTAAACAGGGACACAAAGTAAATTTTAAAAAGCAAAGGATATTCCGATGTAGCTGTTGACTATTTATATGGTTTCTAGAATTTTACCCTCCAGAACTTAGTCTGAATTACTTGCTAGCCTACACCCAGCACCAGACAGGTGTTTCCACCCATCCCCACCTTCACCCACCTGTCATGCCCACCGCCACACACACTCCCCTGGAAAGGGGTCGCCCCTCCCACAGACACCTGCCCACACACACACCTGTCCCCCTCACAGACAGACACCTACCTAAGCAGACATTCCCTTATGCGCAGTCTCCCTCTCTCCCACCCAACTCACAAACAAAAACCAACGCTGGGTGTCATCATAGGTAGCGCATTAATACCGGGGTTTGGCATAGTCAAGGCCTAACACCATTCAAACCGACCCCTTGAAAGCCATGTTAACTAGATACACTCTCTCTCTGTCAACTGGCCCACAGGGACAAGCTCTTTGAAACCTCTCCTTGGAAATTCAGGCACAGAGGCCTAGCTCTCCTCAAACCCCACATGGTGACCCCCCCTCCCCCGCCCGAGGGGTTGGAGCCGGAGGTCTGAGGAGCACACTCACTGCAAATCTGACTTGGCAGTTCTCCTCGCCCAGGTAGCACAGGTCCCCCGAGACGTTGGTCTCCAGCCACAGGTGCTCTCCGTTGACCGCGTTCTCCTGCAAGGAAAAGACCCACCGGGCTTCAGATCTCTTTTCGGGCTTAAAGGGGGAAGCTGTCAGATTTTGATTTTGGACGCAAGGAAGTCCGTGAACAAGGAGTTTCAACACTTCGCATTTTGCCCCTGATAATACTGCTACCACCGGTCCCACCAACATTCCAGCAGTGGAGAAAGGGGCTGGGAAAGCTTGGAGCCAGTAACTAAAGCAGACATTAGGTCAACAGATGCGCTATACACGGACGCGGTGACCTTGGAAGCATCTGTTACACAAATGAGGAGAAGGCCCTCAAAGTGTTCAGTGTAAGGCCTTATCTATCCAGGCCCAACGTGGTCGATCCCATAACAACTGAAACAAATCCATTCGAAGTGGCCTTTGCTGAGCAAATGAGCTAAGCGGGAGGGTAGCAGTAGTAACGTACTTTAAGTAAATACTGTTTGAAAACACATCTATACCAGTAATGGGGAGATTGTCCTTCTAAGCCAGAGGTTTCCTGAAACTCAGTTTTAAGTTGAGAGTCAGTGTGTACTCAAAGCTTAATAAATTTCTACTAATCCAAACATTTTGCCAGTTCAGTGGGGCCTTCACCCAATTAATTCTAAATTTTTCAAATTAAAGGATTTCCCTTCTAAACATATTCAAATACTTCCAGTGGCAAACGGAGAAGAGCTATAGGTTTGGATTCTAAAAGTTTTCACATAGTTCCCTGGTCCATGTGGCTCAGTTGCCTGAGCGTTGTCCCAGGCGCCAAGAGGTTGCTGGTTCGATTCCCAGTCAGGGCACATGTGGGGGCTGTGGGCTCGATCCCCAGTAGGGGGTGTGCAGGAGGCAGCTGGTGGATGTTTCCTTCTCTCCCTTTCCTTTCCTCTCTCTCTCTAAAATCAATAAAAACATATTTAAAACTTTTCACGTAAAGATGGGTCAGGACAATTTAAGTAAATAATTTAAAAGGCACTTCTTTGCTATGTTTCCTAAAGAAATCGATCTCCACCATCTAAAATATTCTACTACTGGGAATTTATCACCCAACTTGAATGTGTAACCAATAACTAGAGTAAGATCCCTTTTCACCCTTTATTTCTTTAATTCATTCAATGAACATTTATTCCACATCACTGGTGCCAGGCGCTGGGTTAGTGGGGTAATGCACAGAGTAAAATCGACTAGAGAATGGAAACTAAACACATGTTACAGTGGCAAACACTAGGAAAATCTAAACACAGCAAAGATTCCAGCCAACTCCTTTAGAAACTGAAATCTAAGGTACAGTGGGGAAATGGTCAACAACTATTGGCAATACCAGTCCAGGCAGGCCAGAAATTAAGTCCTGGAGAGGTCAAGTCAGGGAGGCCCGAGGAGTCAGACTCACCAGCACAGCGCTCACTCCCTGGGCCACTAGGCGACATCCCGGGCCAGGGGCTGTGCCCCCTGCACACTGCGCCACCTTGCTGATAAACCTGGCCAGATTCCCCTCCACGGGACTGATCAGCTGACCGCACTCTTGAGTGCGGATGTGATTGGAAATACTGGTCTTCGTAAGGGAAGAGGGAGAGAAAACGATGGAGGCCTCCTGCCACAGTAGTCCTCTAATTTGCTTATTAAAATGACCTGGGGAGTTTTTAAGAACACCTGGGCACCATTCCCAGAGAGTTTATTTTTACTGATCTGAGGTGAAACCTGGGCATCAGGGGTTTTCCAAGTTCTGGAGGTGACTCTATGTCCCCAGAGTCTGAGATCCAATAACCCCATAAACCCTACCTCTTTTCAAGCTTATAAGATTACAGAGTCTATAACTTGTCTATGACTGATCCATCAGACTTGACACTTCTCTGCCCTTGTACAGCCACCAGAGAAGAAGGTGAGAGAGGGGGAGAGATGTGGCGTAGGGTAGCCACATCTAAGGGGAGACAAAGGAAAAGGGGATTATAAGGAAGGAGACACGAAACCAGACACACAGTGAGTGAGTTCAAAGCTAACAGGGTAGATCCTGGGAACAGGGAAAGGAAAACAAAACTCACACAAGCCTTTGGACAAGCCATGCAATAAATTAAAACATTCCTAAAATTACCTAGTCATCTCACTTTTGGAGATGTGCCCTAAGAAAATAATCCTAATGAAAGAAAAATCTATGTCCATTAAGAGGCTCAGTTTCTCTCCTGGGTCTCTGTAGCCGAGACTGCTGGCCATTCACCACCATCACCTTTCTTTTCTTCCTGAGCACACTGCTGGATTTTGCTACCCAGCCTCCCTTGCAAGGCGACCAAGTCCTAACCAATGGAACGTGAGCAGGAGTGGCGTGGACTGTTTCCAGACTCGGTCCATGAAAACCTCCCACATGTGTTCCTTCATGCTCTTTCCCCATCCTGGATACCTGGAAAGTCAACTTCTGGGATGATTTTAGAAGCTTTCTGATGAAGGTGTCAGAGTGACTGTCTGTCTGGGTCACTGAGTAACTATGGAAGAGGGCCAGCCCCCTCCCCAACCTACCTGGGACAGTCTGGTCTGACCCACTTCTGTATTTAGGCATTACATGTGAGAGTATTTTATTTATTCCAGCTTAGTCTTCCCCAAATAATACAAGCCTCTTCTCTTTGTGCATATTTTGGTCTGGATTTTCTTTCATTATCTACATCCACCCCCAAGTTACTTACCGTACACTAAGCAGCATGTCTAATCGCTGAGGCCAGGTTTCTTCTGCTCTGACCTCTAATTCTGACATTCTCTCTGATATTTTCCACTGCTTTATAATTAATCCCCTTAAACACAGCTGTGACTAGGCTGCTTTCTTGCTCAGAATGCTTAAATGATTCCCCATTATTTATAAAATGAAACCCAAATTTAAGCCCACACACAAGACCTTCCGTTAATGGCATCAATCCGTCCAGCCTTAACTTCCCTTACCCACCTTCATATATTTAACTCTCCTATCGCTCTTGTCTGGATAGAGCCACACTTTCCCTTTTGTGTGCCAAGGTTTTTATTTCTTCTATTCTCTCCACCCAGGAACCTCTTTGCCTCCTCTCTGCACATCCATCTTGAATTACCATCTTAAATAGTATACAACTCAGAGTATCCATCTGTGTCAGATAAAAAAATATAGCTCTCCCATTTCCAGATGAAGATAACATTCTGCATTTGTGAATGCTGAGGCAGGTCTCTATAGATATACCTAAGAATATCTCTCTTATTTTTAGACTGTTCCTCAAAGTCCAAAAACTTCCCTCCTACTCTGATTTACTCAAATGACTAATTATGACTTATTATTGTATTTCCTGCCTCATATAATTTACTTAAGATAGAGACTCACCTATATATCTAGAGAGAGAGAGAGAAAGAGAGAGATGATTCTTTGCCCTCAAGTTCTACTGAAGTTCTAGTAATAGTTGGAGGTCAGAGATAAAAGTTGGGAGGGGTGGTTGTTATAGACTGAGTAAGACACAGAGAATGCACTGACACCAACAGCCAATCCTTACACAAAATGAAGATATTTACTTGTAAAAAGTATTTTAAAACAATAAGAAAATTATAAATATGTATCTTATGCAATGTCCCTACAAATTCAGAAAGGAAAGAAATCTTCGAGAAAATAACAGGTGAAATCTGTCTCGGATGGTTTGGATCTCTGCTGTCCAACAGGCAGATGGCTACTGAGCACTGCAGGTGTGGTTCGCACGGACTGAGGAATGCTGTCAGCGTAAAATTCACAGCAGATTTTAAAGACTTTGTGTGAAAACAGAATGCAAACCATCTCATTGATCACTTTTATACTGATTGCATATTGAATTGGTAATATTTTTGACAAATTTGGTTAAAAAAAACATGGTGCTAAAATTCATTTTACTTATTTCTTTTCACTTTCTTTAAATGAGGCTACCAGAAAATTTAGAATTATTTTACACCTGATACCTATTTCTACTGGACTGTGTTAATTTAGCTAATCATTTGCCAAGGGAAAATACTTGTATCAGGCCTGCACACGTTTCACTAAACTATGAAGTTGTAGGATTCTGATTTCCCCCAGCAGCCAGTGTGATTTAATTTAAAATTCTCACAATTTTGGGAAATAAAGGACTGGTGAGAGTACATAAAATCAAGTTAGGTCTTTTCCACTATTAACAGGTCTGACCAGTCCGGGACCTTCCCTGGTTTATGGCTGGTTAGTTCCCTGTGCTCTCAGCAATCTGATCTCAATTAACCTGACATTTTCTGAAATGGGGATGGGAGTGGGGAAGAATGTTGGGCGGGAGTCACTATTGGTGATGACACCCAAACCCAAAGGTAAAAATGCTGAGACCTGAAGCTTGTAAAGGAGGCACAGGACTGCTAGGACTTGTCATCAGAAACAAGATGAAAATGAGAATGCATGTGCGCGCGCGCACACACACACACACACACACACACACCTGCCTCACCCTGGCTTTTCATTCAAGGTTTCTAAAGATAAGATGACCTAATTTCATAACCCAGTTTGAAGCGATCCCACGTGAAGATTCTGTTTCCCTAATCTTGCTCCTGAACCAAACAGTGGGGTTGTGCACTGCCTGGGAGAAAGCACGTCATTTCTTAGCATCCTCAAGTACAGGCATGGAAATGTGGTCTGGAGGTAGGGCCTGGCTTTGTTTGTGCTGACGCTCTGTTTTCCTTAGCTCTCAGGACCAGAGGAAATTTTCCAATGCGGGGGGTAGAAAAAAATGAATTGAAAACAAGGATGCTAGGTTTATAACCAACATGCCCTTCAGATCTTGGTGGCTTTTCCACCACCGTTTTGAGAGTTGTTTTAGGCCATGTAATGGGCAAAAATAAATCATAAAACAGTGGAGACAGAATAAGTCCCACCTCTCACGCTCTGCGATGATGTTAAAAACGGGGAAGAAAGCTCTTAAGTCAGGATGCAGTCTCCAGTGCAAGAGGCGCGTGGCGTTTAAGAGAAGACACACATTACCTGGGCAACGGACACACGTCTAAA